TTAATAAACATTTTCTGATTTTAATAAATATTTTAAAAAATACTAACTAGTTAATATTTTATTACTTGAAAAATATTTTATGTTTTATATTATAAAGTAATTAATTTATTCTTTTGTTTTTATATTTTGTTAATTCTTTTTTATAAATATTTTATTTGAAATATTAAATAGAAATTATTAATGGAATAATCTTTATTAATATACTGTATTATATTAATATAATATACTAATATATTATATTTTTAATGTACATTAGTCGACATTAGTCGACATCTTGTCGGCATAATAGGAAAAACTGTATTTTTTTTTGTTATTTGGACCGATTTGGTCGAAATTTCCAAATATAGGAAATGTCAACCGACATAATGTAATTTTTATATTACCATCCATTTTCATGTTGGTGAGCCTCGACATCGACATATGTCGGGCAACATTAGCGACATTTGGCGACATTTGAAACCATGTCTTAACCTAAGTAGCATGATAATCATCATGATCACAAATATGAACCAACATATCCTGTTTAAGTAGGTATGGCAGCAAGAATCGTGCCTATTATGCTCTGCCAGAGACCATATTGTTTGTTAAAGAATGAGCTAAATATATCTTCAGCTTATAACAACCTAGTCCTTGTCAGTGCAATGACTGCTTTTTATTCTACATGGCAATGTCATTGGAGTTTACTCTTATCTCTCACCAATTGATGCTACCCCTAAATTCTCTCTAATGCACTTATTTCAACTATTATCTCTCCCAGTTTTTACCACTCATTTATTTCATTTTCATCTCTGCTGCACACCTTTTATGGATATGTTGTTTCTTGATCCATAAAATGAGTGTGGTGGAGAAGGGGATGTTGGCATGGACATGTGGTAAAACTAAGATGGATAAAATTTAATATTCAAGTAAATATTGTCAACATTTTGCAGAGGATCATTCATCTCCATTCTCTGCCTGCTTTACTAACATTTTCAGTGAAGTGCTTTTAGAAGTTTGAAAAGTTATGACTAATTAATCCGATTCATTAATGTTCATGTTTTAATATATCAAATATGAAAGTTGTGGCATGTCATCTTCCAGAAACATACAGATAGAATGAGAAATATCCTGTAGAGTTAGCCTTGGTACAAGGCACATCCTGCCTATACCATTCTTGGCCAATTAAGGGGTGCTCTATAGTGTGGATATTCCATCGATCAGTTGATTTTGGAACACAACACACCCATTGAATGTTCTTTTGAGGGTGTGGCATGTTTTAAAACCATCTATAGATGGTTCTAACCACAAATTTTCTGTCCACGGTAAAATACCATGGTTCTGTTCACACAACCGTGGATTGAATTTATTATATACCATCTTAAAAAAAAGATGGTGTTTGCAGATAACACAACCACACCACATTACAGAACACCTCATGGAGTGCACCGTGGTTCAAACCATGTCATTCCAACCATACCACAGCAGGGATAGGAGATTCAACCACACTACTGTACCAAACGTTTCCCTAATCAGCTATGGCTCTTTGGCTGATACTGACCTAGTGGAACAAGATGTTCCCTCTGGTCACCAGAGATCTAGCCTCATTTATAAAATGTCTAAATAGAATTTTTTTTTATTTTTTGGGATGGTGGAGGTATTTTGGTCATCTTGTTACTTTTCTTCCATTCTAGTTGGCGTCATAGTTAGGCTATGTATGAATTTTCTATTATAGTATAAATATTATCAGAAGTTAAGTAGTTTTCTTTGGTTTGAAGTTTACCAGTGGTATGATTATAATTGTGAATTCTTAGTCTAAGGAATTCTTATAGCCTTGTGCACGAAGTGGTAAGCAGTATTTTAAAAGTGCAAGATGCAAGAAAAGCACAAAGACGTTCTAGCACCCTAGTCACAAGGCGACGCATGCATCTTTTTGAAGCAAGCTCAATTTAAAAAAAAATAACAGTAATACATGAAAAATGCAAACCCAATTTTCAAAATAAGTTAAATGTGTTGTTAGAATGATTTATTAATTGTTTCTGCTGTTATAGTTTATGCTGTCAGTCCTAGAGTGTTGTCAGCTTGTTTACTGCTTTTTTTATTATTGTTTTATTAGGGTGTGCCGCCAGGGGCAAGCTTGTAAATCCTCATATTTTATTTTTCATCTCCTTAATATAAATATAAGGCTGGGCACCTCCAGCCTACGGTTTTGGCTCCCAAACAGCCGCTCTCTCTTCCCCTTCCTCTTCCTCTTCCTCTTCTCTTCTTCTTCTCTCTTCTTCTTCCTTTCTTCTCTTCTTCCTTGAAGAAAACATGCTATCAGAGAATACTTCTGGGCAATAGGAGGACTCTTCTCTGGGTTATTCCTTGGTCGTAACACCAAGGAAACCCTAGTTGGTGACAACCGATGCTGTGAAGGCTGTGTTATGGTTATGTTCACCATCGTACAGGTGCTGTATAGGGGGTTGTGTACTCCCTTGTGACAGTGGTGTTCCATTCTAGGAGGCAGATTTGTGTGTGCTTTGTGCCCTACGTGTGTTGGATAGTAGAAATAGGGTGGAGATTTATTTCTGTGTACATCAGTGGCTCTTCTTGAACTGTAAAACCTCCCTAATATGGTAACTGATGATTCAGCTTCATCTGGGGTTACATCAACCCGTGGTACAGTTGGCATGAATGCTGAGAATATGTTTTTCCCAATGCCAATCATCCCTTTGAATGGTTTGAACTACCTAGAGTGGGCTAAAGGTGTAAAACTATATATTACAGCTAGGGGAAAACCTGGATACATAAATGGGAGAGTAAAAGAACCTAAAGATGAGACAGCTGAACATGATAGGTGGGATCAGGAGAACAGTATGGTGAATTGGTGATGTCTTGGCTACTTGCAGCCATGAAACCAGGTGTAAAGAAGAATTTTATATGGGCAGAGACTGCAAATGAGATATGGGAACAAGCTAAAACTACCTGCTCTGAGCAAAGACACTATGCCAAGATTTATCAGTTACAGGCTGAATCCTCAACCTATAAACAGGGTGACCGCAGTTTGTCAGCATATT